GTCCAGAGGAGGGGCAGTGGTGTGGACATGTCCAGAGGAGGGACAGTGGGTATACTGGATGTTAGAAATGCAGCTGCAGGAAAAGACCAGAGACGACTGAGCTCTTGCTCTGCTGACGTCTGGAGTTTCTCAGTGTCTCGTTGTGTTTGTCTCAGATTCTGCTCCTGGACGAGCCCACAGCAGGGATGGACCCCTGCTCCAGACATCAGGTCTGGTCTCTGCTGAAGAGCCGGCAGCCTGGACGAGTGATTGTCCTCAGCACCCACTACATGGACGAGGCGGACATCCTGGCAGGTACGCACACAGAGTACGGAGAGTCTTCAGAGTGAAGTATGTCCAACAGTGAGGACGGTGTCTCTGGTCCCTGAACCTGTGAGGAGGTCCACGTTAAGTTTTATTTCACACATCAGACGAGAGGCTGTAGACAAAGAGCTCTGGCTCACAGTCCTGGTCAGTCATCTGAGGGTTCTCCACACTGAGAGGACACGAGCTTCAATCAAAGACGGCAGCAGAGAGAGGACACGTGGACGGCTTGTCCTCCAGCAGTCCATAGCAGCACAACTAAAGGATAACTCAGGAAACCCTGTCAGGGTTCCCAGCGACTCTTGAAATCAGGGAAAACCTGGAAAATGACTTTGACATTTTCCAGAAGGAAGAGAGGACGTCTCTCTGTCAATACATTAAAACTAGTTCCACTTTATTTACAGTCGTGTTGAAGTCACGGTTTAAGATTTGATCCAGACCATTAGTTTCTTTCAAATGTTTTTCACCGTTAACAGTTCTGCAGTTTTTTTAACTTCAGAAATTAAGATTTTTTTCTTTGGTTTTATGTTTTACTTAAAGAAAGCTCTTAATTTGGCGAGCGTGTCATAAACCTGCTGGGCGTGTCTTCTTCGCAGATCGTAAAGCTGTGATCTCTCAGGGGCAGCTCAAGTGCCTCGGCTCTTCTCTTTACCTGAAGATCAAGTGTGGCGTTGGATATCATCTCCGGCAAGAAGCTCCACTTTCATCAGAGCGTTCAGGTGGAAGTCCGACTCTTCAGACGGGGTTAACCGTGTCTTGTTTTGCAGGATGTCGATCGCCGAGGGCTGCGACGCAGAGAAGGTCTCGTCTCTGATCCAGCTGCACGTCCCCAAAGCCGAGCTGTCCCGACGGCACGAGGCCGAGCTGACCTTCACGCTGCCTTTGGAGAGCGTGGACACGTTTCCAGGTCAGATTATTTACGTTTACTGGTTTTTGAGTTCTGGTTTTGACTCCATATGTTGGACTCGATTTTAATCAGACTTGTTTACGGAGCTCGACTCACAGCCGAGGCTGGGGATAATCAATTATGGCGTTTCCATGACGACGCTGGAGGACGTGTTCCTTCGTTTGGAGGCAGAAGCTGAAGTGGATCAGGCAGGTGAGTGCTTGAACGTTGGTTCTTTGGATTTCTTTAACAACGAAGCACCACCTGTGAGTTTTCTGTCTCCAGACTACAGCGTGTTTCACCGGGAGCAGGCGGACGACGAATGTGACGCCGCCTCTCTGGATGAAACGGACCAGCGCCTGCTCACCTTCTCGGACAACAAGTCCGACGTGGTGTCGGGTCACGCTCTGTGGCGGCAGCAGTTCAGCACCGTGGCGTGGCTGCACATGCTCAACATGCGCCGCGAGTGGAAGGCCTTCGTTTATACGTGAGTGCTGGGAGGGGGGACCGGAGATCCAGGTTCTGGTTCAGAACTGACCTCCAAGACATCGTGTCTTGATCTTTTCTCCTCGCAGCCTGGTCTTGTTCCTGCTGTTCGTCGCTGCGGTCCTCGTCGTCTCTCTGGCCACAGGGAACATCCAGATTCACTCTCCAGAACGTCAGTTCCTGCCGGTCTACCTCCTGAAGAAGAACCAGGCCGCCCACAGATACACCTCCGCCCTGCTGGTTCAGAACACGTCAGGTGAGCCCGCTGCAAGTAAAGTCCTGTTTCCTGTCACAGGTTTGCTTCCGGAGCGGTATAATTCCTGAAGTCCTGATGTCTCCCAACACTTTGTCTTCAGACTCGGACATCTCTGACTTCATCAACAACCTGGAATCCCAGGATATCAAGGTGGAGCTGATGAAGCACAGAGACTACATGTCTGAAGCTCCTCACAGCGCTGCCATCAACGTCACCGGGTCCAACAAGGTCTCCAGAGTCCTGCACAGAGAACTGCTCTGCTGGATCACCTGGAGTAACTCTTGGTTTACTGCGTTCTGACAGGGTTTCAGATACGTCGTGGCCTTCAACAGCACCAACGTTCACTCTCTACCCATGGTCGTGAACATCCTGAGCAACGCTCTCCTCAGAGGTCTCAATGGTTCTGGGCAGATCCGAACCTGGACCAAACCCTTTGAATATGTGAGGCCCCGCTCGGATCTTATCTCGTGTTCCCAGATGTTTCCTGTGATTTGAGGAGGTTACAGATTATCCTGTCATTTCTCAGCAAATCCCAGACGCGACGTCCTACGCGCTGGTGTACATCGAGGCCATCATGCTGGGGATGCTGGCTGCTGGGATGCCGGCTTACTTTGCCATGGATCACACCCGGGACCGAGAGGTAGTCCCACTTTATTATTACTGTGACATTAGACCGTGTGAGCAGAGCTCGACCAGAAATATGAAGGAAAACCGACGCTTTAAAGAATCCTGGTTGGATTCACATTGTACTGGTCTCAATGGTGCTCAATAAAAACAAAACACTTTACTGTCCCTGCGTGTGTGAGTTGCTCTCTTTCCACACTTCCTGTTTCCTCCGTCTTTAAAAGAGATGGAGGAGGTGCCTGTCCCTCCACCAGATTATGGTCTGCACCCAGATAGGTGGTTCGAACCAGCTGGGTACAGAAGGGTTACCACCGTCACCCGTGCACGTACCCAGTCCCTGTGAGGCTGCATGTATTCATGCGTGCACAGGCTCCAGATCACGCTGTGGACCCTGAAGGTGTCCGGAGCTGTGGCTGCGTGATTTGACTGAAGGATCAGCCCAATGTTCAGACTAAGCCCCTGAATCTTCCTGTTCGTGTCATAACTGAAGGAGTTCATGGAAGTTGTTTGTTGTTCCGTGTCTCGCAAACGTCGCAGATTGAAGGTCTGATCTTTGCGACGTTAAGACGTAACCTGCTGGTTAAATGTCAGATTAAAGATTAGGAGGACGCTTGAAGGGTGAATGCTCCATCGTCACTTTCTTTAAAGGTTATGAACGTGGGGTGTCAGAGGTGAGGTCTGCAGAAATGTTCTCCAGGTTCTGGATAACGACAGAGATTAAAGCTGTAATCTAAGAACTGTTCGTGACGCTGAACTGTTTGTCCTCTCGCAGATCAAGTGTCGCTCCACGCTGCGTATCTCCGGTCTCTTACCGTCAGCCTACTGGTGCGGCCAGGCGGCCGTGGACATCCCCTTCTACTACATCATCCTGTCCTCCATGAACATCATCCTCTTCTCCTTCCACTCTGGAAACCTGCTGGGGCCCAGCCACCTCACCTCTGTGGTCCGTGCCTCCCTCATCAATCCCGTCTGATTTCTTTTATGTATTCATCCTCATGTTGCTGCGTGGCCTCTCTCAGGTCCTCTGCACCATCGGCTTCGGTCCGGCCATGATCCTCTTCACCTACGTGGTTTCCTTTGGGTTCACTCGAGTCCAGAGCAACAGGGACTTCTTCTCTTTCATCTCCATGATGGTGAGACAACATCTGTTTATGGACACCTGCAGCTTCCTGCTGCCGTGGCAGAGGATGAACGGATGTGTGTGTCTGCCTCAGGTGTGTGTGGTGTCCGCCTCCATCGTTCAGTTGTCGTTTGTGAACGATAATCCCGAGCTGACGAGGATCCTGCACAACGCCCTGTGTCTGCTCAACCCTCTGTACCCGCTGATGGGCTGCCTGAACTGCATCACGAAGGTCAGGGCGCCACGTCCACGGTTTTCACTCAGAATCACATGGAAGACGTGGTGCAGGAGAGATAATCCCAGTGATTAACCTCTGATTATAATCCCAGTGATTAACCTGATTATAACCTCTGAGATTAACTCTCTGATTCTAATCTCCATGATTAACTCTGATTATAATCTGTGATTAACATCTGATTATAATCTCAGTGATTAACCTCTGACTATAATCTCAGAGATTAACTGCTGACTATAATCTGAGATTAACTCTCTGATTATAATTTCCATGATTAACTCTGATATAATCTGTGATTAACATCTGATTATAATCTCAGAGATTAACTGCTGACTATAATCTGAGATTAACTCTCTGATTATAATTTCCCTGATTAACTCTGATATAATCTGTGATTAACATCTGATTATAATCTCAGTGATTAACCTCTGACTATAATCTCAGAGATTAACTGCCGACTATGATCTGAGATTAACTCTCTGATTATAATCTGTGATTAACATCTCATTATAATCTGTGATTAACATCTGATTATAATCTCAGTGATTAACCTCTGACTATAATCTCAGTGATTAACCTCTGACTATAATCTCAGTGATTAACCTCTGACTATAATCTCAGAGATTAACCCTCTGTTTATAATCTTGGTGAAAAACATTTGATTATAATCTCAGTGATTAACCCTCTGATTATAATCTTGGTGAAAAACATTTGATTATAATCTCAGTGATTAACCCTCTGATTATAATCTGAGATTAACCCTCTGATTATAATCTCAGTGATTGACCTGTGATTATAATCTCAGTGATTAACCACTGATTATAATCTGAGATTAACCCTCTGATTATAATCTCAGTGATTGACCTGTGATTATAATCTCAGTGATTAACCCTCTGATTATAATCTCAGTGATTAACCCTCTGATTATAATCTGAGATTAACCCTCTGATTATAATCTCAGTGATTGACCTCTGATTATAATCTCAGTGATTAACCCTCTGATTATAATCCCACACATCTCAGAATGTGTGAAATTTAATAATTTACGTGTCTGGCTGGATAGAGGGAAATTAAAAGATTTCTGTTCTCATGTCTTGATTCTCAGACGTTCTCCCCTAAAAGTAAAAAAAATCTAAACAGCTGGACTTCTGTTCCCCTCCGGGTTTTATCAGTTCAGAACTGACGAGTGTTGCACTCCAGGAGTTAATCTGCACCAGCGGCTGCAGAGCAGCTCCCTCCCCTCCCTGCTGAGGGTCTCTGTTTTAATTTCAGGCGACCTTCCTGCCGACGCTGTACGAGGAGAACTTCTTATGGAAAAGTCTGCTCATTTCAGTTGTAGCTGTAAGTTATTTTGAACCATTTGACCCAAATGTTCAGAACCTGACGGAGGTTTGCGTCAGTTTAACGTGTTCGTGTTTTCAGCCGTACCTGCAGTGCATCCTTCTGCTCTTCCTGCTCCGGTGGCTGGAGATCCGTCACGGAGGGCGGGCGCTGAAGAGCGACCAGCTCTGCAGGTGAGGATCACTTGCCATCAGATTAACTCACAGATTACAGACAAACGTTGATGAAAGATTAGCAGACTAAACCCTGAGATCTTCCTGGTTTATGAATCTTTACAGGAGCTCGACAAAACCCAGACCCAAAGCAGAGCGGGTCCTTGAGGAAGAACTGAACGAGGATGAGGATGTTCAGATAGAGAAGGCCCGCGTGAAGGAGGCGCTCAGCTGTCAGTCCTGTGAAGAGGCGAGTCCGTCTATAATCAAGAGACTGAAGAAGATTTTTATTTTAAATCAGGTGGAGGTCCAGAGGACCTTGTAGTGGTTCAGCTACATTTAAACTTGCAGTGATTAAATAAACAAATGACTGAGTTCTGTGACGACAGCAAAAGTCAGGGTTTATTGTAAAAAAACGCTTGCAGGTTGGACCGAACAACTGGACACCCACAAAACAACCAACAACAACCCTCTCTTGAACTAGTTTTGATCTCCTTTATACCCTCTGTGTACGTCAGAGACTTTCATAAACATAAGCTTGTTATTGCAAAGTTGTCAAGCAGACTCCATCTTGCCGTATGCCCAGACCGCTGATAACTGGTTCTCTTCCTGTAAGATAAACGCACTTCATTTTTTTCTGTTGGATAAAGGTCAGTTTGACCCAAAAAACATTCTGCACTCTAACGCTGCATCCTCGCGGGGCCTTCTGAACAAACAACTTTTCTACTTCAATCCTCCCTGTTTGAGGAAATTCCTCAAATAAACAAATGCCATCAAATTTTCTGATATACTTAGTGATACATGAACACAAGTGTGAGAATAAATTAACCTTCTGCATGATTTTATATTGTGCACTAACTGTAATAAAATAATAATGTGAAATAGTGGTGTAATATCAGCTAAAACCTATGATCTTGTAAAATGTGATCACTTATTGGATGCTAGCTGTTATCTACCTGGATTATGGAGCGTCAGGACAACACGATTTGTTTTTCAGAAGCCGGCTGTGGTGGTGAGTCACCTGAGGAAGCAGTACACTGGCAGGAAAGAAGGCTTTTCTTTTGGCAAGAAGACTAAAGTGGCCGCAAAGAACATTTCTTTCTGTGTCCGCAAAGGTCAGAAGAATAATTTCATCACAAACGGTGAATGGTTTTCAGATGAAACTAACGGTTATCTCCTCAGGGGAGGTCCTCGGACTGCTGGGCCCCAACGGAGCAGGAAAGAGCACCGTCATGCACATGCTGTCAGGTGACACCGAGCCCACAGCAGGACAGGTGAGCTCACCTGTTGGTTCTGTTAACACAGCCAGGTTCTGCTCAGAACCACAGAAACCTGGAGGGGACTCCGAGTCCAGCAGAAGGTTTTTCCATTTATTAGACTGGTTTAGATCCGAGTGGGGGTGAGGGGGGTGTTTGACGGCTCGCTGTAAGACGGGTCAGAACCGATCCTCCTCAGCTACACTCGTACACAAAATGTTTGTTGTCTCAGCGTACTGTCAATGAACCCAAGCTCTGTAGAGACGGACTGTGCCCAGTCTTGCGTCCCCGGGTGGAATGTGGTGTGACCAGATGTTTCAGAGAACCTTAGATGTTTGTTTTATTCATATTCTTGAAAGTTTGTAACGTCGGAGGTTCTGCTCAGAATATACAATTATTAAGTTACTCTAAAAATGGGAGTTTGGAAAGCAGAAACATTTAATTTCAGAACAACAGAAGCAGTCTGGATGGATCCGTTTGTATTTTTGTTCTTTATAGATCAAAAGAGAGAGTTTGTTCTGAAACCAAACTTTTTAATTATATTATTTTCTGAAGGCTGCTGAGTGTTGAAACGTGTCATGTGTCCAGATTCTGATGGGAGACTACAGCACCGAGTTCAGTCCGGTGGACAGTCCTCTGGACCATGTGGGGTATTGTCCTCAGGTCAACCCTCTGTGGCCCCGGGTCACTCTGCAGGAACACCTGGAGATCTACGCCGCCATCAAGGGTCTGAAAGGACACGACGTCCCCGACATCATCAAACGGTGAGACTCGGAACGCTGACTGAGCCAAGTGCTGACCTGGAGGTCGGTTGTCATCAAAACTGCGCACTAACGTAGAAAAAACATTTAAACTTGTTTTATTAAAGTCACTTCACCCACAATGCATCAGTTGTCATCAAAACTGCGCACTAACGTAGAAAAAACATTTAAACTTGTTTTATTTGGAAACTTCGGTTTTTGGTCTTGTAGCTTCTGAAAAGTTTTTAAAATGTATCCAACATCTTCACCCACTTCTTACTTCCTGGATCACGGGGGTCACTGGTGCCCAGCAGTAACTACACCTGGACAGGTCTCCGGTCCATCGCAGGGATACCCTGGACAGGTCTCCGGTCCATCGCAGGGACACCTGGACAGGGTCTCCGGTCCATCGCAGGGACACCTGGACAGGTCTCCGGTCCATCACAGGAGGAGAGAAAAGAGACGAACAACCTTTGACCTATATTTACTTGCATGTGTTTACTTCTATAAATCCATTAAAGTTCAGATTTGAACCTTTGGAACATGAAACGTCCCCTCCTACAGGAAGACATGATTTATCTTCCAGCTGTGTGTTGTTTGTTGTTGTTGTTTACAGAGTGTCAAACGCTCTGGAGCTGAAGGATCATTTGAACAAACAGACAAAGACTCTCTCAGCTGGACTCAAACGGAAGGTGAGCAGAAACTAAATCCAGCTGAAGTCCAGCGTTTAATGGATCTTCAGCTAGATTTAGTTTACAGTAAATAAAACCTGATCTTTACTCTGAACTTTAGCCACGTCGTCTTTGAGTTCAAATGAAGTTTGTTTGTTTGTTTGTTTGCAGCTGTGTTTTGCTCTCAGTATGATCGGGAATCCTCAGATCGTTTTACTGGATGAACCGTCGTCAGGAATGGATCCTAAATCCAAACAGCGCATGTGGTGAGACGATATTTCAGTAAATAAAAACATGAAGGGGTGAGACGAT